CTGCTGGTTGTTCGGCCCATGATGCAACTATGAATCCAGCCCCGGCATCTGAACGTTTATCTGCATCAAGTTCCCCTGACAAGCACATCAGAAAATCATCTTCAGTGTTGTAATAATATGTTCCATGGAATTGTGTCTCTAATATGCATAGTATATCGATGCTCTGCTTTCGCATTGTGCCGAATATCTCTGTGAAACTTAATATGCGAATCCCCCCTCAGACCCTCCACGCTCCAGGAGCCCAGTCGAATCGTCGAGGTCGGCAGGTATGCTGTGCGAGGCCTGCCCCATGAAGTTCGCGGTTGTGGAATGGATGAAATCGAAGACGGTGCATTTGCAGAAGAAATGCCCGGCGATGTCTCATTGCCGCTCTCGTCGCATAAATCCGTCTCAAGCTCAGTACCTGCGGAGACGACTACTAATGATGTGAAAGCGCCCAAAAAAAACATACGTTGAGATGTGTAATCAAAACTTGAAGTAGAAGCAAATGCGGTAATGGTAACATTGCCCATTTCGGGAACAGCCGCAACGCCAAAAGGTAAGGGAAGTGAAACGACAGCCCTCCGCTGTACAACGGTATCTTTGCCCAAGTGCGTAGCAGCGATAATGGTATCTTTACGGTATCTTAGCTATGCACAAATGAATATTATGGGCCGGCTCTGGGGACTGGCCGTGTTCCCTACTTGCCTTTGCCTCCTTTTGCTGTGCCTTTCATGCCTTCGGAGGCCCGCTCAAGCAGCGTGGTGTTTTTCGCGATCAGTTCGGTCAGCACGGGATGATCCTGAAGTTTGTCCCAAGTCTCCCCACTCATTGTCCCACTTCAATGCGAGGCGCAACTCATCCACACCCACGGAAAGAGCAGTGACGCCACCCACCGATACTAGAAAAGGAAACCCGTTGGTTGCTATCTGTATGTTGTACTTGTTGTCCAGCTCGTGGTTAAGTGCTTCCAGCCAAAACCTGCGTTCTGGGCCGCGCGGAAGGACGGCGGCTTGTCCTGTGTAGCCCATAGTGGTGTCCCTCCATGGTCAGGGCTCGCACTCCGCACAAGCCAACGGCCAAACCTCGATCGGCTTCGCTGGCGAATACCGCGAAGAGGATGTCCCGCAAGTCGCCTTTAGAATATATGTCTGTAGCCGGAGGCGCCGACAGAGAGGAAAGTGCATCTTTGACCCAAGAGGGGGCTGCTGACATATAAGCGAAACCAAGAAATTTCCCGATTCCAGCTGTACGGTCCCGCTTTCCCTCCCCTGATATGTATGACTGTTGCTCACGTTTTATTGTGCCTGAAACTTTCAGCTCCGATACCTGGGCATCCAACGTCTTGATCTGGTCCCAGATGGCCGCGTCGTCGCTCAGGGGGGTGGCCGAGGCATCAGACTGCTCGATGGTGTGTCTCTCAAGGTTGGTGAGGCGGATGGCAAGGTCCTCGATGCTCCCCTCCACTTCCTCGATCCTGGTGGTGATGTTGCCGCTCATCTCGTTGAGACGCCGTTCGAGGCTGTTGATGGTGTTGCGGATCGGTTGCACCTCCTTGCGTATCACGTTCGCGATCTGATCCAAGGTAGGTGGACGTGGATGTTGATGATCCTGTTGAACGGGTCCTCCTGCTGCTGGTTTCACCTCCGGTGGAGACGAAGGGGTTGCAAGTGCGTGCACCTCAGGACCGTCGTCGCCATCCATTTCATTTAGTGGGCTGAACAGGCGTCTGCGCAGAATACTCTCCATCCCGACTCCTACTGGCGTACCTGGAGCGCGGGTGTGCGCACGTGGAGGGCAACCACGTTCGGCGACCGAAGGAGAAGAGCTCGAAGCCAGGGCGGCAAGGAGTAGAAAAGGATGGGGTGGCAGCAAGTGTAGGTCAGAGGGAGTTTCTTGATTTCTTGAGAGCCACCTGGGAGTCCCAAAAAGGGGCAAAACGAGGGAAGGGTAGCAATTGCACGGTGTCCCCTGGGGCCGTAGGCGACCAGAGGAGGAGGGAGGAGAAGGAGGAGAAGGAGGATGAGGAGGATGAGGAGGTGGAGAAGGAGGAGGAGGAGGAGGAGGAGGAGGAGGAGGGGAGGGGGGAGGGGGGGAGGAGGAGAGGAGGAGGAGGAGGAGGAGGAGGAGGAGGAGGAGGAAGAGGAGGAGGAGGAGAGGGAGGAGGAGGAGGAGGAGGAGGAGAAGGAGGAGGAGGAGGAAGAGGAAGGGGAGGGGGAGGGGAGGGAGGGGGAGGGGGAGGGGGAGGGGGAGGAGGAGGAGGAGGAGGAGGAGGAGGAGGAGGAGGAGGAGGAGGAGAGGAGGAGGAGGAGGAGGAGGAGGAGGAGGAGGAGAGGAGGAGGAGGAGGGGGAGGAGGAGGAGGAGGAGGAGGAGGAGGGAGGAGGAGCGGGGAAGAGCGGGGAGGAGGGGGAGGAAGAGGAGGAGGGGAGGAGGAGGAGGAGGAGGAGGAGGAGGAGGGAGGAGGAGGAGGAGGAGGAGGAGGAGGAGGAGGGGAGGAGGAGGAGGAGGAGGAGGAGGAGAGGAGAAGGGAGGAGGAGGAGGAGGAGGAGGAGGAAGGGCATAGGCATCCCCCCTCCCCCCCCCCCCCCCCCCGCTCCAGTACCCCAGCCTCCCACCTCGCCGCTCTCCTGCTGTCCTCTGCTGCTTTCTGCAAGCCGGCCTGCCCGTCATCACGACCCCCCGTTGGCACTTGGCTGCTCGCGCAGCAGCTAGCCCGCCGGAGTACGATCACCAGTGGCGGGGGGGGCCCAGCTCAGACATTGGAAGGAAAGGGGGGATAGACCCTGAGACCAGCGCACCCTGCCATCGACAGCGACTCTCTGAGGGCTCTCTTGGTGAACCACCAATGTCCTAGATGGCGGTAAGAGGCCCAACCTGCGCATGACAAAGAATACGGCAGGCTTATGCTACCTGCGAGGCCAGGAATGTGTAGTCCAACGGTCATGCAGATACACCAACATTCCTCCTCTGATTGTGACCCCCCTTTCCTGGGAATGGGGAGGGAATTGAACCGCAATAGACCTGTCTACTTGTCTTTATTTGGGCAATACGTGTTGTTATTACTCCTCCCTCCGCTGGATGCTCATTGGCTGCGTATCCTATCCTCGGCTTGCCTGAAATGTCATCTCCGAGGATGCTGAAGATGGCTGCGTTCGCGCTAGCACGTACAAAACGACCCGTACTGGGCCTACCTACATGGCCCAGCGCATATCCCAGGCGGGCTCAGATTTGCGACGCGCGGTCACGCACGACCGATTGCAACAGCTGATGAGCACGTAAGTGTGAAGTCGAGATGGTTTGCATGTGTTTTGCATGCCGTAGGCAATCATTATTCCAGCCATCTAGCCGTCGACGTTTACCATAGACCATACACGGTATACAAACAACCACAGTGCAGTCCAATCGCACTGGCAAAAGTACCCATCATAACCTACACGATATTCACTATAACGCTTGACGCGCGCAACATGTAATAACCACGACCAACTTATTGAGACTCAAGTCTTGCACACATGTGCGCCTCAGTTCACTGCAAATTGCCTCACAAGAAATCATCAAACCATTCAGCTGGCACCGCGGCACCACGACACGTAACTTAGGCCACTCACTCTTCCCCGAGCAGCGCTTGCCTTTGGAGGTTCTCGCGTAGGTTACTAAGAAATGTGAGTCGGGGAGACGTAAGACCCGGGTACGGGGGACTCGGAAATCCCCGACGAGGTCGTCAAAAAAATGACGAGGCCGAGCCTGCATTTTGACGAGGCCTCCCGCTGCAGACACCCCACGAAACTCCTCCTCGTCAAAATCCGAGGCGCGGTCGTCAAAAAACGATGGCGAACCCGAGTCCCGGCAAACCCGGGTCTTACGCTCCCCCGAGTGAGGTATCCGCTGACCTCGCCAGGTTGATGCCAATCGCCGTCTCGTTGCCGCCCAACGCTCTTGGGGGGGTCGGCCGAGGTGCCCCCACGTCCGTTGCCGCCCGCTCCCGCCCCGTGGCCACCCCTCGCGCTCCGGGGGTCCGCCGAGGCCTCGCCACGCTGCAGCCGCGCTGCCGCCCCGTGGCCGCCCCTCGTGTCTCGGGGGCTCCGCCGAGGTTCAACCTAGGGCTCCCAACTTCGCGCTTCGCGCTCCGCGAAGCGCGAAGCGCGAATAACTTCGCGCCCTCGCGCCGCCCCCCCAAAGGGAGAAAAGGAGGACGAGGAGGAGGGGGAGAAGGAACGAGGACCGCGAAGCGCGAAGCGCGAATAACTTCGCGCCCTCATGGGAGCCCTTGAGGTTGCGCCACGGTGCCGCCCGTTGCCGCCGCGTTGCCGCCGCGTGACCGCCTCGTGCGCCGGGTGGGCGTGCCGAGGATTCGCCGTGCTGCCGCCCGTGCCGCCGCGTGGCCGCCTCGTTACCGCGTCGTGTGCCGGGTGGGTGCCGAGGATTCGCCGCGGTGCCGCCCGTGCCACCTCGCTGCCGCCGCGGCACATGCCGTAAACCACACGGCTTGCACCACGCAGCTTGCACAGCATAGCGTTCGCCACATAGCGTTCAACATATAGCTTCCACATCCGCAGTGGAACAACTGGCTGCGTAAGGCCCACGCTGGCCAATGGTGGTAAACAACTCAGTCAAAAGTGGTACGAGTGTTTTTCACACCTGTTTGCAAAATAGCCCACAAGTGTCTCGCACACTACGATCATTCCTCCTCCTCCTCCTCCGCCTCCACCTCCTCCGCCTCCTCCTGCTCCTGGAAAAGTGAGCAGTGGAACCGCAGCCAACTCACATTTGCATCACACACGTTTGCCCGCGGACGCAGAGACACGGTCCGACTTGGTATAAGCGAGAAGCAGGGCGCGAACACTCGAATCGAGTGCCCACACACGGAGCGATGCGAAAGGGCGAGGAAAACGCGCACACGACGAGGCGAACATGTCTCGGCTCGCGTGGCGTCTGGCGACGGCGTGAGGCAGTGGAGATTCCAGTCCGCACCGAGCCAGCAGAAAGGTGTGCGCCCCGGCGAGATCGCCCCATCCCCCGCCAGGTCGCCAAGCTCCTCCTCCGTGAGGATGTTGACTGCCCGACTGCAGACCTGCATCCCCCGAGGGGGGAGCACTGAGGGCAGGCGTGACCCTAGGAAGCAGACAATAGCCTCCTGGCGGCATCGTTGAAACCACCAATAATATGCATAAGCAAGTTCGGCAACCCCCGTCCAACGATACCGCTAGCACATCAAATCCGCAACTGTGCCCCCTGGCTCGTTTAGTAGGCGTGGAAGAATGTCAAGGGCTGGCTGATAGAGTTTGCTGCTAGGAAACAGCCTCATGCATCCCCACCCCCTTTCCCGAGGCCACGTCCCCCGTGCCCGCTCGAAGATCATGCACTTCCAACATGGCAGCTCATGCCTAAGCCCGCATTCCATGAGTGCCCGCTCGAAGATGGATCACTTCCGGCATGGTAACGAATGCCGGAACTCGCATTCCATGCGCGCCCGCTCGAGGATTGTGCACTTCCCGCATGGCTGCTGAAGACCTCTGATCCAAAGCGCACCCGCTCGAGGATCGTGCAAATCCTACATTGTCATGCCGTCAAGGCGGCCCAGAAGTGCCACAGGAGAACCCCAAACAGGGCCCGAGGAAGCCAAAATCATGGATGCCCCTGAGGTTGTCGCATGATCGTCGCATTCTCGCCTGTTCGAACTGCCGTCAGCTCAAGACGACCCGAGAGAACTCCACGATGGCCCAAGAAGCATCCAAGACGTCCCCAAGGCGGCCCGGAAGGGTTTTTTGTGGGACTTAAGACGGCCTTAGAAGGCCCATCGATGGCCCAAGACAGCGCCTAGACGGCCCCCCGACGGCTCCCAGACACCTCCCATACGGCCAAGAGGGCCCCAGAGCAGCCCAAGAAAGCACCAAGACGGCCATCAGCAACATCAGCATCACCACAACCACCACCACTACCACCACCACCATCATCAGCAGCAGCATCAGCATCATCATCATCATCGTCATCATCATCAATAGCATCACCATCATCAATAGCAGCATCATCATCAGCATATGCATCATCATCAGCAGCAGCATCATCACCATCACCATCACCATCACCATCACCATCACCATCACCATCATCATCATCATCATCATCATCATCATCATCATCATCATCATCATCATCATCATAAGCATCATCATCAGCAACATCATAATCCTCATCATGAGCATCAGCATCAGCATCAGCAACATCATCAGCATCAGCAACATCATCGTCATCATCATCATCACTCTCAGCATCATTATCCTCATTATCATCATCGTCATCGTCATCGTCATCGTCATCATCGACAGCAGCAGCAGCATCAGCATCAGCAGCGTCATCATCATGCTCATCAGCATCAGCATTATGATCAGCATCATCAGCAGCATCATAATCAACATTAGCATCATCATCAGCATCATTCGTCATCGGCATCGTCATCGTCATCAACAGCATCATCAGCATCAGCATCAGCAGCAGCTTCATCATTATCGTCATCATCAGCATCATCACTATCATCAGCAGTATCATCATCAGGATTCATCAGGATTCATCAAGACTCATCAGCCTCATCATCAGACACATCATCATCAGCAGCAGCAACAACATAAGCATCAACATCATAATCAACAACATCATCAGCAGCATCACCGTCATCAGCAGCAGCAGCATAGTCATCACCATGATCATGATCAGCATCATCTTCATAATCATCAGCAGCATCATTGGCATCGCCATCATCATCATAATCCTCATCATCATCATCAGCATCACCAGCATCATCATCAAACCTCAGCAGTAGCAGAACCAGCATCAGCATCATCAGTTGCATCCTCATCATTAGTAGCATCATCCTCGTCCACAGCATCAGCAGCATCATCCGCACCACAATCGTCATCATGATAATCAGCGTTGCCATGCATCAGCATCAGCATCAGCATCGGCATCATCGTCAGTATCAGCATCATCAGCATCATCAGCATCATGAGCATCAGCATCATCGTCATCATGGTGCATCAGGCAGCTGGACAATTACATGCAGGCATATATGTGTATAGATGTATATATGGAATGAAAAAGATATAAACATGTGTGTATGTGCGTGGCGATCTAAAAAATAGAAGTACCCGACCCATTCTTCGTCCGAGGCGAATAGTTGTATGAAGGCTCGTACAAACGAACACGTCGGGAGATATACGCGATATGCGCTGCCATGCACTCCGCCGTGCCTCCCAGGAGCCCACAAGAATAGCGACAGATGAGCTGTTCGCGGCCCCCCACCCCACCGAGCCGCGCTAGTCTTAGGTCGGGCCTGTCCCCCTACAGGGGGATATTGGAGGAGGAATTAAAAATACTCCCAACATATCCCAAACACATTCCAACATATACCAGAAATCGTCCCCAGGCTTTTTTAGTATGTTTGAATATTCCTCCTGTAGAGGGGCAGGCCCGACTTAACGCTAGTCTTGGTCCGCATAAGACCCCACTACGCTGGACCTCCCAGGAGCCCACGAAGGAGGCGACACTTGCGCAAGTGGCCGCGGCGAGGTCTCGCCTGGATCTGCATGGGCCTCCGCTCCGCTGTCCCATGAGCCCTCGGAAAAAGGCGACAGTTGCGCTTTTGCCAGCCCCCCAGGTCGCCGCGAGGACCCCACTCCGCTGGACCTCCCAGGAGCCCTTAACATAGTCGACGATTGCGCAGCACGCAGTCCCGCAGGGTAACGCGAGGAGGAGGAGGAGGAGAAGAGAAGGGGAGAGAGGAGGAGAGGAGAGGAGAGCAGAGCAGAGGAGAAGAGAGGAGAGGAAAGGAGAGGAGAGGAGAGGAGAGAAAAGGAGAGGAGAGAAGAGGAGAGAAGAGGAGAGGAAATGAGGAGGAAGAAGAGGAGCAGGGAAGAGGGGAATGAGGAGGGAGGAGGGGAATGAGGAGGAGGAGGAGGAGGAGGAGGAGGAGGAGGAGGAGGAGGAGGAGGAGGAGGAGGAGGAGGAGGAGAGGGGGGAGGAGCGGAGTGATGGAGACCACGACGCTCTATTCAAAACGAGAACCCAACCCAGGAGGGCTGGGAATAAATCATTCACTATTTTCGCCGCTCGCCTGTGAGAAATGCCATCGAGAGGTCACGTCGACAGGTAATGATAATACCAATGAGAAATCAATATAAAAAAGCCTCCGGGAAACTCTGGATACCTCTGGGGACCCCTGGAGACCTCCGTGGGAGTGGGGAGACTCTGCGAGGGATATCGCCTGAGCCCCAGCCCCGTTGTCAGAAGCGTTGCAACCTCTTGGGATTAGTGGGAGGGCACTGAAGGCTTCCCAAGGTTACAAGGCATCGGTACGCGAGAAATGAAGTATCGACTGGGTCCTCTGCGCAACCAGCGCCAACTCGGATGGGAAGGGCTGATGGGGCAGGCTGACTCGATCGGCTCTGGGACTGCAAAGAGAAAGTCCTCGCTCTCCGAAGGTTCCTGGCAACCTCGCGCTTGCATGGATCACGAATGGCCAAGTCAAGCCCAACATGTAAAGTTGATTATGCTGGGCCTCAGTCGGGACAAACATAACGGCGGACTTGGGGGAAGGGAGCCGATGCTTTCACCGGCGAACTACAGTCGGACCTAGGCCAGAAGAACATCCCTTCAGAATACGAGACCCTCCGCCGCCCAAAACACACAGAAAATCCCAAGGGTACACTCCCCAGTGTGCACAAGACCGTCCAACAAACACGAAGAACACGAGGGTACCCTCCACGAACCGACCTCGATCTTGTACCTCGGTCCGACCGAACCAAGACTTTTTGCCTTCTGCGCCGCTTGCGCAGCCTGGCCATTCCCCCCAAAGCCAAGGGTGCCAGCTCCAAAACCCCCACCTAGAGGCCTCCTGGATGGGGTCCGAGTAGGTGGGGTCGGAGGATCGCGCCGCATCGCCGATACATCGCCGATACATCGCCGATGCATCGCCGATGCATCAGCGAAGTCGGCGATGCATCGGCGACGCCGGCGTGGAAAATATCGGGCTCCACATCGGCATCGACGATACAGCGCGATCCTCCGACCCCATCTACTTGTCACTGCACCGACCTTGCAGACGTGCTGCAGCTGACTTTTGCGTGGATGCCTGCCAATGGAAAACCCCGAACCGGCGAGTGACAAACGGAGTGAATTTCGCATGGATTTGTTGCTGGTCTTCACTCCTGGCCTCAACAAGAAACCGCACGAAATGCACCCCGAAGTCCGGAACGACATTCTCCAGGCCACTCCGGGCCCATCCCATTGTTTTCCGAACGACATCCGCTCTGCGATGCTGGCGCCATGATACTCGGACTCCATCTAGGAGGCCTAGGCTTAGGCCGGGCCTGGCCCCTACAGGCGGATTTTGGCTGAAAAATAGAACATAGTTTAAAAGGCACCCACGAATGCCCAAATACAGTCAGAAAAACGTCCCCTGACTATTTGAACTATGTTTGAACATTCCTCCTGTAGAGGGACAGGCCCGACTTAACGCTAGTCTTGGTCCGCATAGGACCCCACTACGCTGGACCTCCCAGGAGCCCACGAAGGAGGCGACACTTGCGCAAGTGGCCGCGGCGAGGTCTCGCCTGGATCTGCATGGGCCTCCGCTCCGCTGTCCCATGAGCCCTCGGAAAAAGGCGACAGTTGCGCTTTTGCCAGCCCCCCAGGTCGCCGCGAGGACCCCACTCCGCTGGACCTCCCAGGAGCCCTTAACATAGTCGACGATTGCGCAGCACGCAGTCCCGCAGGGTAACGCGAGGAGGAGGAGGAGGAGGAGGAGGAGGAGAAGAGAAGGGGAGAGAGGAGGAGAGGAGAGGAGAGCAGAGCAGAGGAGAAGAGAGGAGAGGAAAGGAGAGGAGAGGAGAGAAAAGGAGAGGAGAGAAGAGGAGAGAAGATGAGAGGAAATGAGGAGGAAGAAGAGGAGCAGGGAAGAGGGGAATGAGGAGGGAGGAGGGGAATGAGGAGGAGGAGGAGGAGGAGGAGGAGGAGGAGGAGGAGGAGGAGGAGGAGGAGGAGGAGGAGGAGGAGAGGGGGGAGGAGCGGAGTGATGGAGACCACGACGCTCTATTCAAAACGAGAACCCAACCCAGGAGGGCTGGGAATAAATCATTCACTATTTTCGCCGCTCGCCTGTGAGAAATGCCATCGGGAGGTCACGTCGACAGGTAATGATAATACCAATGAGAAATCAATATAAAAAAGCCTCCGGGAAACTCTGGATACCTCTGGGGACCCCTGGA